AAATTTTGCCACCGCTTCCGTATGGCGAGAAATGTGTTCAATCATATTCGGGAGGGAGTGGTAGCATATGATCCATACTTTGAGTGCAAAGAGGATGCCCTTGGAAAGCTTGGCTTCTCTTCTTACCAGAAATGCACTCCGGTTATCCGCATGCTTGCATATGAAATTCTCGGTGATCTTGTGGATGAGTATGTTTATATGAGGGAGTCCACATGTCTCCACTCAATGGATAGTTTCTGCAAGGCCGTGGTAGCAGTGTTCGGCCCTGAGTACCTGAGAGAGCCAACTGCCACTGATACAGATAGGTTGTTGGCAATCAATGCCGAGAGGGGCTTTCCGGGCATGCTTGGTAGTATTGATTGTATGCACTAGAAGTGGAAGAACTATCCATTTGCTTGGCAGGGGCAATACAAGGGGCATGTGAAAGGTGCTACTGTCATACTTGAAGCAGTGGCTTCACAAGATCTATGGATATGGCATTCTTTCTTCGGCATGACCGGTTCTCGTAATGATATCAGTGTTCTTCAGCGTTCTCCTGTGTTTGCAAGGCTTGTAGAAGGCCACTGCCCGGAGGTCAACTTTGGGATCAATGGCCACCAGTACAACAAGGATATTACCTTGCTGATGATATCTAGCCACAGTGATCCACTCTTGTGAAGACCATACCCAATCCGCAAGGAGAGAAGAGATAGAGGTTTGCCCAAATACATGAGAATGCTAGGAAGGATGTGGAGCGTGCTTTCAGTGCGTTTCAGTCTCGATGGGTAATCGAAACCCTACATTGACATGGAGCACTCAGAAGCATTGGGAGGTGATGACTGCTTGTGTGTTCATGCACAACATGATCGTGGAGGATGAGCGTGATGATAGCATCTACGGCCAAGGGTTTGATTTCCAGGGTGAAAATGTTGAGTCTGAGCAGCCACCTCCTACAACCAAATTTCGATTGGGTTGTAAAGACTATTCATATTGTTTTTATTTCGATTGGGTTGTAAGACTATTTCGGATGTGAAACTATTTGCTATGTTTGATTTGAACTATTTACTATGCTTCATTTTAGTATGCTTGTGTTTTGTGCACGGACGAGATGCAGCCGAAATGCGACCATGCGTTGGGCGCACGGCCGCCACATCCAGAAATTCGGGCGGACACGACCCCATTGCCACCCCAAACGAATAAAAAGCGGACGAAACGGATATCCATTTGGGGTCGTGCGTTGGAGTTAGCCTTACTCCAACGGGGCGGTCGTGCGTTGGAGTCATCCAAAAGAGCTCACGCCGGTGCTGAACCTCCCCTTCCCCTTCCCGCTGAAGAAGCCCATGGCTTGCTAGGGTTTTCGAGCTGGCTGGCTAGGATTTAATGGTCGCCAGTGAGGGAGCAATGGTGGTCAGATGTGAACAGAAAGTGGATGAGGCCGGCCCTGCCGCACGCCTCCATTAAAAAGGATGGACACACTGCCCTTCCAAACATTGCAAGGCGGGCCCTCGTTAGGCGGTCGCGTTAATTACGACCGCGTGTGGTGGTTGGCCGGCCGACATGTGGGGTGTTGGCGGACACCGAGGGACGCACGACGCGTCCGCTTCGTTGTCCGCGCCGACGCATTTTAGACCCAATTTTGAGTCTGAAATCTGTCGACGCGGACATGAAGCAGACGCATTTTAGGTTTGGATCGTTGCGTTGGGCTCACGTTTTTGTCCGCGGCGATCTAAACGGAAACGGCTATGGACGTACGAAGTTGAAGTTGCTCTTAAAGTGGACTGCGGCGGTCTAAATTTGGGAGACGACCAGACTGCGTGCCGCATTAGTGGCTACCTTTCATGGGCCCAGATTTTCGGCATGGGCTTTAGGGCATCAGCCCAAGTAATCACTTGTACCTTTTTTTAATAATAATTTTATATCCCCTCAATTTTTTTAAGAAGAGAAGTGACTTTGACTCATACTAGTATTTGATTTCTTTTAAATTAATTTTTTGAGGGGATTGGTTAAATTATTTTGATAAACAAATTAATGGTCAAAAAAATATCTCAAATGAAAAATGGCTAAAAAAAATAAATTTTTACAACTTGCACTTTATTCGGTGGAATGGAGGAAGTATATTTTTTGTCAAGCTGGGACTTCATGTGTTGTTTATTGCAAATACGCGAGCGACACGTTGCAGGAAATCTGAAGTTGTACCGCAAACGTTGTTTTCATTTTAAATGACAGGGAGATGATCCCCACCTAAATGCATTACTCAAAGCGCCGTCACCATGAGCTGTTACAAAAGGGTGCTAGAACGTAAGGCAAGGTATTGTCGGCAAGACGCGGCAGCCTGTCGCAAACATTGTGTTCAGGATGCAAATTGTTTTGGACGCCGATAACGTCCACACGTGTAGGTGTTAAGGGGTCTGCCCACACAGTTTGTGTGGTGTTTAAGTAGATCAGCCCACACACCTATGCGTGGGCAAAACAAATAATGTCCACACGTTTTTTTTTCCTCGTGGTCCCTTTCACATGCCTGCGTGTGGGCAAAATAGATATCGCCCACACGCCTGTACGTCAGGCCTCCTATCTTATGGTCCTGCACGCACCGCGTGACAGTCACCAGCGCCCCGCAGTTGTCATGGTCTGGACACTCTTCCATGTTTATTTAATTGTAGTTGCCATGTCGTTGAACTACAGTTGCCATGTTGGACAACTACAGTTGTCATGATTGCTCAACTGCAGTTGCCATGTATGGTCTGGTCTACTGCAGTTGCCATGATTTCAAACTTTAGAAATTGCCACATACTAACACTAGGCAGTTGAGAGAGTTGCCATGTGCTCACAAGCACGCTAGGGCAGTTGCCATGTAAAAGGAAGAGTTGCCATCTGCTTACGTGCACGCTAGGGCAGTTGCATGTACAATGCAAAAACACATGGCAACTCGGGTAAAAGAAAGTTGCCTATGCTTACGTGTACACTAGGCAGTTGCCGTGTACCCTGCAACTCACATGGCAACTCGGGTAAAAGAGAGTTGCCATCTGCTTACAAGCACATTAGGGCAGTTGTCATATACACTGCAAAACACATGGCAACTTGCAGCTTGGGTGTGGGAGAGGAGACGGGCGTGTGGGTGAGAAGACAAATGCACACACATCAGCCCTTGTGCGTGAGGCGTGTGGGCGAACTGCTAAATGCCCACACACCAACCCCTTCGTGTGGTGAAACGGACGTGTGGGCGACCGGATGAATGCCCACACACTAGCACAGTCCTACGTGGCACCACAAACATGCCAAGATTTATGCATCCATAAACGGACGCGGATCCAAGCGTGTGGGCGAGATGTAAACGCCCACACGTGTGGGCGTGTTTCCGATTGTTTTTCGCCCTAACGTAAATGTTTTGTTCGACAAAATGAGGTAGAGCGAAGAAGGTGATGAGCCCGGGGATGTTGGTAACGGTACACGTCGCCAGGGCGGTCCCGGCCTCTATCTCTAGGCGCGCGCGCGCTCCTCAACCACGCCGCGCGACCCGCCCGGTCTGCGTCTCGGGAGGTCGGTCCACGCGCACCTCCTTCGCCGTGCCCGTCCTCCGTGAGTCGCTGCTCAACCTGTACGCGCAGTATCGCCACGGTGGCGTCGATGTCTCCCGCATGTAGGCCGTTCGACACAACGCCTAAAAGGAACGCCTACTCTTGGTACGTCAATGCCATGCGTCTAGATGAAGCCGAGAGATACTCCTAATAATAAAACAAAAGATGAAGCGGAGAGATGTTGGCGCGCATGCTGGAGGACGGCGCCAGCCTTCATGCACACGCCCGTCGGCTTCCAAGAAGCTGCTGCTATGATTCTATGAACAACGTTGACGTTTGGTTGAAGATCGTAGCCACTTGCTCAGTCCCGCGTCATCTGAACCGAAGCCGTCAACCCCTCCTGGCCTTGCCGCGTCCTCGTCGTCGCTTGGTGCGACTCTCTACGTGCATGCAAGGTCTCTTTTGCCGCTTGATGCAATGCAACTCCGCATGCGTGTGGACGGTCTATTTTGTAAGCTCCCACCCACCTACTCTTTAATTGGAGGAGGGCGACAAGGGGCTGGTACGCGTTTATCCCTGACCGCGTCGTCGTCTCTCCTCTAGTTAAGCTCCTTTATGCGTCGGGAGCCAAACTATCCTGCTGACTCGAGTACAAGCACTACAAGCCTTCAGCTAACCAGGTACGGTGAGTATTACCTTCTTCTGCTCCCTGGTTATATCTTTCGGGTGCGCTTCAACAAGCAGATCCTGCAGTATTATACGTCTGACTGATATCACTTTTAGTTATGAGTACTATGATTGTATCATAGCGCTAGCGGTGTGATGTGTGCTGCGCTCAGGGTTAAAACCCCACCCAGCTACATCATACATATCGTCCGTTATTCCAATATATATGCTTTTCTTCCTTCTGGTGGATCATCGTGGCGTGATAACTGAAATTCAAAGTTGGGATTTTGGAAACAGATAAGATTAACATATACTCAACTTAAATGTTAATCTTATCTGTTTCCAGGAGTAGATGGTGTAGGTGATCCCCGGGAGAGTCGCTCCTGGAAATGGCTAGTGCAAATGATATGTGGGAGAAGAAGCTGCAGGATCCAAGTGCAACTCCAGTGTGTCTGCCACTAGAATTTTTGAAAGCCATCACATGTGATTTTTCCTCCGAGCGAGAACTCGGCAGGGGTGGGTACGGAGTAGTTTACAAGGTATGCCTAATTCCTTCCGCTCCAAAAATCATCAAATGTTTGTTAGAAATCAGTACTCCCTCCGATGCATATTAATTCTCATAGGTTTAGTACAATTTTGTACTATATCTGCGACTAACTAATATATGGACCGGAGGGAGTAATAGCCATTGACCAAGGGAAGAACAAGGACATATATATGACATAGGTTTAACTTGCATCACAGGGAATTCTTTCAGATGGGAAAAGCATTGCTGTAAAGAAGCTTTTTCACTTACATGGGCTGGGAGATGAAAAATTCCTAAAAGAGGTCAATTCTCTTATGATGACCAAGCACCAGAATGTAGTGCAGTTTGTTGGTTACTGTGCTGTATCAAGTGCCGAGGCGGTGGAATACCCGCAAGGAGGAAGCAATTATATTTTGGCCGAAAGACCAGAAAGATTGCTTTGCTTTGAGCATGTATGTAATAGAAGCCTTGACAAGTATATCTCCGGTACGATTATGAAAAACTCTACGCTGTCCATTTCCTTATCATTACCCTTTCTGAAGTTTTCTTTATGAGAACATAGACTAAACCACTCAAACGAGGTGGGTGGTGCTGTTAGGGGTACCACGGGTATAATCTTTCAACGGCTTTATAACTTTTTATTTCCTTTATTTATCAACTTAACAGATGAATCTTCGGGCCTTGAGTGGAAAATGAGATATAAAATAATCAGGGGCATCTGTGCTGGTTTGCATTACCTTCATGAGGAATGCCATCTTGTTCATCTAGACCTGAAGCCTCAAGATATATTGATGGATGCTATTATGATGCCAAAGATTGCGGCCTTTGGTTTGTCAAGGATATTTGGTGTTGAGCAAACCCGAACCATCACTCAAAATCGTCAGGGAACGATGTAAGCTATGTCTTCTTATAGCATCGTGTTCCTTCTTGCAGTGACTCAAATTTTGAAAGCACGCTGCAGGGATATATGGCGCCAGAGTACTCAATTCAAGGCACTATCTCCGTCAAGGCAGATATATACAGTTTGGGTGTCACCATTATTGAGATACTCACCGGTTCTAGAGACTATCCCCTACACTTCAACGAGGACAACAGTCCCCATAGTACAGACACATCTTTCCAGCACTTCAAAGACAGAGTAAGACGAACTAATCAAGCTTATGTACATATCTTTATCTCTACTACTTAAATCTCTATCTCTACTACTTAAAATCTCTACTACTTAAAAAGAACATAAGGTTCCCGTTTCACTCCCTCCTTCGTCCAACCTCTCCCCCTTCCCTTTTCCTGTTTGATTTTTTTCCTCGCATCTCTGAGTTTCTCCCAAATAATAATACTCTTTATTAAGTCAATAAATTCTTACCAAATAAGTGTTTAACAATAAGATGACATTTTTTCTCCTATCTCTGATCTTTCTTCCTAATAATATTTTTCTTAGGTAAGTCAATAAATTCTTACCAATAAGTGTTTAACAACACTAGTAGAAAACAAGGTTTTGGTCCAGGCCGGGTTAGCCTATTAGTCCCGGTTCAGTCATGAACCGGGACTAATGTGAGCATTGGTCCCGGTTCATGCGGCAAAGTCATTAGTCCCGGTTCAATTGGGACCTTTAGTCCCGGTTGGTGCCACGAACCGGTACTAATGGGTGCGATGCCCATTAGTACCGGCTCGTGGCACGAACCGGTACTAAAGGTCCCATTTTCAAACTGTACCCCCCCCCCCCTAGTGGATCGCCTTTTCAGTTTTGTAAAAAGCAAAAGAAAATGATAAAAACTTCAAAAATTAAAATCCTTCGAGATGTAGTTATGTTACTACATCTACTAGTTAGGAAAAATTAAAAACTTAAATTTGGACATGTTTTGCAAAAAGTGTAGGGAAAATGTAAAACGGCTATAACTTTTACATACTATGTCAGAAAAAAACATATAATATATCAAAATGTTTAGCACGAAAATCCGCATCCGATTTTGACTGCCTACGGCCTGTTAGCAAATTTTTAGAATCCACAAATTCTAAAAGGAAAAAAGTTATGCTCAAATTTCAGTTTTTTTTAATTTTTTTAATTTTCATTAAATCTGGTCAAACTATGGTAAGGTGAACATAGTCTTTAAAGAATCATACGACTGCTAAAAGATAACACAGTTAACTTTAAACAAGAAGGTATAGTAATAAAAGGCTGCAAATAACTATTTTCATTTAATTTACTATCTGTAAGAAACACTTACCTTCTATTTTCACGATGTTTTTGTATAGTGTACATGATGCTATGGTTGACTTGAAGCTATGGTTACTTCTTAAGATTTTCCATTGTTTGATGCTTTACTACGCTTTAACATGATGAATGGATTTGTATGTATCACATATTTTGCTAAGGATCCTGACCCTTTTTTTTTTCATAAACTCACGAGTGCAATTTTACAGATACTTGGAGCTTGGAGAAATAGGCTGAAGATAGGATCAGGATACTCTGTGATGTTGGAACAAATACAAGTATGCACTGAGTTAGGGATACAATGTGTTGAATGTAACCCAGACAATAGACCATTTACAAAGGATATCATCAAGAAGCTCGGTAAACTGATTATTATGGATGGACCTATCGAAATTGGGGTAAGTTGTACTCCGACGTCAACGGAGGTATGTTCAATCACGTCATAAGACGTGTCCCCAGTGACCCAAGTTTCTTGACAAATGTTTTTACATGGACTGGAAAAATACTCCATCAATAGATGATGTTTGGACATGGATTGTGTATACAACTTCAACCATTATTTTCTTATGAAAATTTATAAATTTTGATATCATCACACGATGTAGATCCATTAATCCCTTTTCCAGATTGTCAATTTGAAACAACGTGATGCCCCCAATCAACTGAACCAGCAGTCCTTGAATTGCAGATTAGCCATGATCAAGAGGAAGGCTCTGGAGACCATCATGCCAAATTGACGGATGTTTATGAGAATATCGGACCAGCGAAGACCGAAACTGAGGTAGGCAAATTGACAGATGTATATGTTAAATGAACGAAGTTATACCATTCTTTAAAGGTAAAGCTTTAACATGGTTGCGTACCTTTTCAGGTCAAAGTACCGCTTTATCGTAACCCAGATGAAGGAGAATCGAGCAGAGCTCGGGTTACTAGCTCGCCAGGTGAACACGCAGCCCTCCAAAGTCCCAAATTGAGTGTCCTCACTCTTCTTTTACACCTTTCATCTTTTTTCTCAGACCAAGCTTACAAACATCATGTCCCGGACATGGACACAACGGATACTTGCTCCGACGATCCCAATATTGCTCCAAGTAGTTTAGAAATTATTTACAAGGTATGCCATACTTGACTCAATTTTTGTGAATGTAAATAAAAATCATTGTTTTAAATAGCGCGCTATAGCGTCGTTATAGCCACCAGAGAGGAGCTGTGCTATGCTAAGATGTATTTCAGGTCAAAATAGTACGAGCGCTAATAGCGGCACTAAAGACCATTCAGCGCTAAATCTGGTCGTCATTTAGCGTTAGGCTATATCTCCCGCCGCATTGGCCCATTTTTTGGAGGGTCCAAAACTGAAATCTAGCACAGTTCTTTACTTTATGGCTTGCTGCTATAGTGTGCTGTTATGAACTACACAATGTCATTCTTCTATTTATTTGGCTGGATGCTTGTTGATATATGAGAATCGTCAAGTATTCCCTCCGTTTTTAAATATAAGTTTTTGTAGAGATTTCACTATGAACCACATACAAATGTATATAGATGCATTTTAAAGTATAGATTCATTCATTTTGCTTCGTATGTAGGCCATAGTAGAATATCTACAGAGTTAGAAACAGAGGGAGTACTCCCTCCATCCCAAAATTCTTGTCTTCCTCGAGTATCTGTGTAGAGGAAATCTTCAGATGCATCTTGGTCGCAAATATACTTAGTCCCGAGTCCTGACCAAAACTTAATTTGAACTGACAACATATATAGTGACTAACTTGATGGCGAACATGCAGATGATTTCACCGGTGGTGCGTTGGCTACCACGTGTGCTAGGATTAGGAGGACTACAGTCGCTGGACTTTAAGGTGAGTTCGAAGTTCCTAAGAAAAGCGGAAAAATTAGAATGATTTTCCTGCTCCCTCCAATAATAATAAAAAATGAAGTCCTAGAGAAACTACAGCCGGGCGCCTGAACCCGTCTCATATGCCCGGGTGGGCCGCCCGGCCACTGTCCGTTCGCGAAATTTGGACACAAACGGGTGCTTCAAACGGGCCTCAAACGCCCGGCTGATCGGCACCCCTCATATCCAGCCCAAATATGGGGTGGATATGGGGAAGCCCAGGCCCGCCCGCCATGTCAGGCCCGACAGCTCGACCCCACCGCAAATTGCACCAAATTCACCAAACCCTTCCTCCTCCTCCGGTCGCCCTCCAACGTTTTCTACGCATGAGCCCTTGCCGCCCTCCACCCTTGCTCCCCATCCTCACCACCGGTCCCGATCCACCGTCAGAGATGTCGTCCACCCCGTCCCCAACAGAGACGCAGTCTGCCTCGTCCATCGGCCTCATCTTGCAAGGCGGAGAATGTTGCCTGGAAGTTGTGGCGACTCCGGCAGCGAGAGAGAGAGAGAGAAGATCGAGTTGGAAAAGCAAGAAGCTGCAATCAAATGGGAACTCAAGAAGGCCAATGCATTTGGAGAGGTTGCAGTTCGCACGGGACGCGGAGAATTCGAAGATCATGTTGGTGGACGAAACTCTCTTGGATGAGTATGAAAAGAAGTGGTTTGCGGACAAGGAGACCAACAACCGTAGGGAGCATGAGGCGGCAAGGGCTGCAGCAGCAGCGAATCATGCGGCCAGGATGCAGGCGAAGGAGGCAGGACGGATGCAGGCGGAGCATGCAGCCCGGATGCAGGCGGACCAGGACGATGGCGCCTGCTCTGTGATCCAACAAGCGCGCCATCTGTCACGCTTGGACATTGATTTCATTTTGGCTTGTCCGGTTTGTTGAACTTTGATTTGCTTTGCTTTGTTTCGAACTGTTGAATTCGGATAATTTGTATCGTATGATCGACGTTCATGAATTGTATGGATTCGAGAATCGGCATTTGAAATATGTGAATGTACCGCGCAAAATATAAGAGGTCGGGACGTGCTCGTATGCGCCCGTGGACGTATAGTGGTCCGGGTTTGTTAAGTTCAGCTGTAGAGGCACAACTTTTGTAAAAGAAAAATTTAAAAGCTGACCACAGATATTTCTGAAAATATTTTGACTGCATGTGTGAAAATCAATACGTAGGGACATGTCTAAATAAAAGCATCTTTTATGTAGAGACATGTCTAAAAAAACGTGCAATCTAGTACTCCCTTCGTCTCAAAATAAGTGTCTCAACTTTATACTAACTCTAATACAAAGTTGTACTAAGATTAAGACACTTATTTTGGGACGGATGGAGTATATGAAACATGTGCAAAGAAACTCAACTGTCCTTCAACAAAGATGATACTATATACTCCGTATATATGTGATTTACTGATTAGCCATTGTTGTTCTGAACCAGATTAAGGTGTCTATCAACTGTGGGAAATGCAGATCATGCATCATGCAGATTGTGGCAAACATCAAAGGTATTCCCTAGACTTTCTATCCACTATACGCGTGATTTCCGATCTCTTGTCTTCATGTCTTTTTTCTCGACTGATGGTGTGTAATGATGTCAGGGATCAAGTCGATGACATCTAACGGGGACGAGAGTGTGCTGACAGTGGTGGGCGACTATGACGCGGCTGTTCTCGTGGCTGCACTGCAAGAGATGAAGCACCCGGTGCACATTATTAGCTTGTGCAACGAGATAGAAGATGAGAGCCTGTTAAGGCTGGGTGTGGGTGTAGCTGCCGCAGCAATTTTCACTGT